CAGTATAGGTCCCATTTCAAATGGCCACTTCGACTTGGGATCCTTCCTTTGTAAGGAGAGAGTCATCTGAACTGCTCGCAATCACTTGAAACACGCCACCTTCTCAGTTCCAGCAAAAGAAACCTAATGTCAAAAACACAGCTCTAGAAAACATCATGAGCCCTTGAGATGCACAGTGCAACTTTCCCTGATGTGTAAATAGGAGCATCTAGCCAAAACTGACTCTCCAAGATAGCCAGCCAATTTCGATGTAAACTTAAGCTTATAGTGCTTTGTTCGAAGCCAGGAAATTTGATAGCAGCAATTAAACTTGGAGGATTAAACGTATTTGAAGTATTTTGATCAGGAAATCTCGGATAGAAGAGGAAGGAAAAATTTCTTATTTAGTCACATCAGCGACTGAATGATAAATACCCGCTTGCTGATGTTACCTTTGTACATTACCTAATTGAATAAATCTCGCCTTCGTAATCTGGAAAACGAATACTCAGCTAATCCACGTGACGGCAAATCGTACCTTATGCACCAATTGCGATTTCCTGGTGGTAGTAGAACCATACCACGACCACTCCTCTCCCTTACAACAGCAAGTACCACATTTCAACAACCTCAAGCACTCTCAGAATGCCAGCGTAAATGGTGAACGCACGCCCGAATGATGGGACCATTCCATTCTTCGGTGAGCTCCCCTGGCAGCAGTGAATTCTCCGACTGAAATAATTACGTAGGTCTCAGCACCATGCCAACGTATACAATAAGTGATTTACTTCCTTCAAGTATTGTTCAATAACTCTAAAACCAGTATTCATTTCGGCAAGTTCAAACAACATCTTACAGTGAACGCATTGAAAAGAATGAAGTCTATCAAACTCGAGATCGAAACCTTTCTAACTATAAACGATATAATACACTCCATATGAATAGAGAAGTCTTGGAAGTGAGGATTAAGCAACGACCTGAGCTTACTAGACTCACTAAAATCAACAAGTATATCTTTATGAAAACTAGTAAAAAGTATATAAGTTATAGTGAAGCGGGTGAAAAGATGCTGTTACTTCGCAGCCGCTTCGATTTCCACGAGAACTTTGCTAGCCTCCTTCGATGATGGGAAACGTATCACATATGTGCAGATCTCCTTTTCACTTGCCGGACATAACAACTAAAACTGGCATTATGAGTATCAAAGGAAGTGCAATGTAAACTGAGTGGTTCCTCAAGAAGAAATCAAAGAAAGAAGTTTTCATAATTGAGTGATCAGCTCGCCCAGCCCCCCATAATCCCTTTAAGCAACTGTCACGATAATAGAGTATAGACACAGTTTTGCATTAGAGGACTATGCCCTGGCAGCTATTTCTAATCTGAAAAAAGTCTTGTCATGTATGTATAGAGCTTCTATCCAAGTTAAAGACTAGAACCGCCGAAGCGAGCACAGCACAAATAGTACCCCCGTCACCCCTACCCCAAATTTGAAGAAAAGTGTTGTATCTGTAAACTTATCCAAACAGTATCTTTAAACTTCTTTGTTCCTCTTCACAAAAAAGATTTGACTCAATCTTGACAGCCAGTGATTTTAAAATGTTTGACGACCACATTTCAGTTTTGAACTGAGGATTTAAGTATTGGGTTGATACATAATTGATGCGGATTTTTTCGAGCCCATTTTTATTGATACAATCTAATTTTCAATTCGAAATCTTCGCAGTAACAATCTTCTCGATTCCTCTTACAGAAACACAATCAGGAATCATCTCCATATTCGCCACATTGTGCTCTACCACTTCAAGAAAATTGGTGGCAGAGTCATAAACAACAATCAACATGAATCTTACTCACCCTTATTTTTTCTCCTTTTTCATCTGCTTTTGCAGCTTTCATCGTCTGATTCATGAGAGCATTAATCCAGACAGTTCCTGATATAAATTAGTTAAGCAAAGCATATGGACAAACAGGCATAGTGTTCTTGTCGCCGAAAAGAGTAAGATATTGTGTGAGAAACGTAACTTTTCCGAGCTACAGTAGCGCTCAAAAGTATTCGGCCAAACGCTTTCACGTTTTTTCGTTCATAACTTTTTTTTAGCGGAGCAAATCGCGCGAAATCTTGATATGTTTACATAGAGCATGTTTCATACCATCCAACCCTCTTGGTAGCAAAGCAGCAATATCCACGTAACTGAGAGCAGGTGTTTTTGCGGTAGCAGACTTCGCTTAAGCAAAGTTAGTGAAGTCTGCAGTTTTTCACGCCTTATGTGCGTTTTTCTTCTCTACTGCGTTCGGCATTAGCGCTCGTGAACTCTAGACATGACAGAAGGGAAAGAAATTCCAGAAGGACATCATTCGTATTTGTGATTGATTTCGAGTTCTAGCCCTTTGGTATATATGGAACATGTTCAGATTGCAGGTTAATAGTGGTAAATATTCACAATACTCCATGCTACACATATTGAAATTTCGCATAATCAGATCCAGAAGGATAGAAGTTACGAATGAAAAGAGTTACTGAAGAAGCATTTTGCCGAATACTTTTGGGCGCTACTGTATATTTATGCCAACGCAAACTCAAGAGTAAACTGCAGAAGCAACAAACCTATGGCTGTTGCTGCTCTGACCAAAACGCTCTTCTTTCCATCCGCTTCTTTCAAATGCAACATACCAACACCCAACTTAGTGTATTGCTTATCAACCAGCTTGAACACGGAACACCTTCAACGACAAGTTTATATAAGTTAATTGATAGAAATCGAAATGCTGTACAGTGCAAATACGGGTTCGCTTACTTAGACGAAAATGTAGCACCAGGTTCCTCAAATTCAACCACTTCGGCCTTGGGCGGAACATATTCTCCTTCATCTAAATACAAGTTCTTTCATCTAAATACCAGCTTTCTTTTCCAAAGTCACCTTCAATGTTAAAAAANAAAAAAGTATAAGTACCTGTACAAAATATATTATAACAATTAGGTGATGACTAACAGTGAAGGGTACGATTTCGCCGCGAAGTTCGAACACAATTGCCTTGGTGCATTATCACTTGGCATCATAACAAACGACAGACAATCCAATCAAATACATATGCAATGCATGTCATCTTTTTCGTCAGCTGTGTATTACAGGGTTTGATGGATTGACCAGTAGTTGCAAGGCAACGGGTCATTATATCAAAACGCAAAGCAAACTGTAGCAAAGGTTGCCAACACAAAACCTATTTGTGAACCTGACCCTTCATAATGCATTCCTTTAAAATGACTTACTCACCATCTCCTTTTTCGCCTTCGTTACTTGATTTTGGCAATGTACCAAAAGAGAACTGAAGCCCTCCTGTTGGTGCCGTGGATGTAGTGGAGCTCCCAAAGGATGGGAAGGACAAGGCTGGCCTAAATTACACCTTATTGAAGTCATCAATTCGCTGACATATGTAAAAACCGAGAAGGTTCAGGAAGATAGATGACAGTGAAAAAGGTAAAGAGGCAGCACAAAGATTGAGAGAGGTTCATAAGGCACTAATAAACGATGTGGAGGAGCGAAGTAAAGTCATTTCTTTGTGATTGTCATATATTGTCTAGAAGAGTCGCTTGCCATATAAAAATATTGATTGCTAATCTGATGTCGTTTGGGACCTTAGATATAGCGAACTCACAAAATTCTAGGATCTTTGGAAAGTTAGAAGAATTTACTGTGTACTGTAAGCCACGCTGGGTACGTGTGGCGGTGGTTAGACGGCGTTCATGACTCATCTGATTATTTCAGGGCGGAGCGAGAAGGATGAAAGCTGTCTTGGAGTGGACACAAAGCTCTGACCGGAGACGGTCGCCTTTAGTACTGTTAGCTCTCATTTCGGGGCGACGTCCCGGAAACAAGGATCTGTTTATCACCCCATAGTCCTCTTTGTATGCCTTAGCGTATATTAATGCCTATAATGTATTTATGTCTTTTCTCCGAACTGTCATAAGTAGTTCATATTCGTCCGTTGCCGTTCTCTTACTTGTATATTATGGAATTATTCGCTATAGCTTCTATGCTCTTAATAAAACTTAGTCAAATATTAGTCTAAGAGGCACGTGCACGAACCACAGTACACGCCACCTTACTGGTAGCAGCAAGGGGTCCCACCCTTGGTGTAGGTTGGTAAAAAGTCGTCAAGTAGTTTTCGAAACTTCGTGCAGCTGCGCCGGCGCGGAAGGTACTGTTCGCGCTCGACTGGCAGCTGCATGGAGTCAACATCAAAAGGACTAAGTTTGTTTCGTTTTCATCCTCCTCGCTCCGCCCTGAATTGGTGAGATGAATCATGAACGCCGTCTAACCACCGCCACGCTTACACAAGTGGCTTACAGTACTTAAGAGGATTTCGTAGAAGGTTGAACCCTTCCAGAAATTTTCGGTAAATTGCTATATGACAGCCTATTAAAAAATAATTAGGTCTATGCGCTCATGAGGCGGTTGATAAGTTAAAAGGTCATTTCATTCAAACGATACCTTCAAAATTACCAAATATTACAAGCAAGAAAATTGAAACCAATATTCTAACCTATTCTCGCCCTCCTTCTTATCGTCCTTCGCATTTCCAAAAGACGGGAACGATAAAGTTGGTCTTAAAATGGTTAAGGTACACTGAAGAAGTATGGATGTAATAGAATTGGCAAAACAGATCATACTTCTCCTCCTGTTTCGAGCCGAATGTCGTAAAAGATAGCTGAGGTCTGAATGAACTTTTTAATAAATACTCTATGGTGATATTGATAAAAATGCACAAATTACTTTTTCTCAGCTTCCTCACTATCTTTCTTGGAACCGAAAGACGGAAAAGATAAAGCCGGCCTTAAAGCAAATCATTTGATATGACCAGGTACAATCACAAATTTACCGACATAAATCTACCTACTGCCAGATAAAGAGCCTTTGTATCAAACTTGGAACTGAATCAGTAAAGTACAGATTTGAACACGCACTTTTTCTCAGAATCTTCTTCAGCCTTTTTCGCGCCACACGATATCGAAGACGTTGGACTCAACGTGCACTGACTGTTATAAAAACTGACCATCAAATCCCATTAAAATCAAAGAAAAAGTGAGAACAGGAGTGGACAAAACTAAAAAATTGAATTGATGAGTCTTACTTTTTCTCTTTACTGCCCTCATCTTTTTTGCTCGCACCAAAGGTTACAGTTGATGAATCGAACCTTGATAGAAATTCTCATTGATGAAGTAGAGCGCAGATTGAGAGCTATTA